GCACAAAATCAATGAGTGCTGAAAAACTTCCACTTTTCTTCCGCACTTTTTTCTTTATTAAGGTTGAACTTAAAACAGATAGCATCAAAACTTACTATTCCGGATTCATGGTAGCCATTACGTCGTACAAATAAGAAAGACAACCTTATACAGGAGGTACAATGGGGGACCTGAAAAAAGGCCCTACAATTAATAATATCAGATGACAAAATTACAACGAACAAATTGATGTCCCCGATCAATATAATAGCAAAAAAAAAAGTACAAGATTTGGCCTGTCGAAGTACAAAAAATAGAAACAAAAGCATAATCGCGACAAAATAAAACAAAAAGAAAGAAAAAAGTGACAAAATTTTAAAATCTGGAAAGGATCCCACTAATGGCGTAAAAAATTTCGCAGAAATCTAGATGACCTGCAAAAATAACGTTATTAAATACGCCACATCATCGCTGTCACAAAATTTACAAACAGAAGAAGGCTTTGAAATTCGTGAATATGCTGCCCCAAAAACCCGAAACTCAACAAATTTACAAATAAATAGACAGAAGTTAGAACACAATTACTGCTCATCAGTGTATCATTTTAAAATACAGATGTCCACAGTGTACTGCACATTCATCACAATCTCTCCTCACGTATTCACTTAACCAAGAAACATAATAATTTCCGAAGAAATAGAGCATTTAAACTTCAAAAAATTCTGTTAGAACAGACTAATTTAGCCAGAATATGAAATGTTATCTCTCGTTGAAATTGAAGAAAAAAGTCCCTCAAACAAGGCACAAATACGACCAATAAATCCTCTGTTTTTAAATGCACATGCAGCATTCGAATACTAAGTACTATTGTAGTTTCGTTCACAAAGCGATAAATACAGCACCACTGACTTTAAGAGTTCCCATATAAAGTGAAGTATAACAACGCACAAAGTAATAAGAAATCGATATCAATGATATATATGCATAAGGAAAAAGAAAATAAAAATGAAATTCCCAGCGCCGACTCATTACTAAAAAGCGCAGTGACAAAAACGCAAAAAATTTCATAACAATCCAGCTACTTCCCCATTAAACCCACAAAACCAAAACACGTGTAAATTTACTCCGTATATGACTGTGCTGATTACCTGTACTTAAGTAAAAATGGAACAAAAATGAAAATGGGTAAATGCTTTGTTGCTGTTTGGAAACACATCGGAAATGAAATCATCACTCCGCGGAATAACCGAGTATCAGTTGCTCGTTATAGCATTATAAAGCAATCATATTGTTCTGACTAAAGTCAAGGTACCGTTGACCATAAGTAAACGTTCATCTAAGTTATGAACAGAAAAACGATTCTCAACCTGCCTCTCCATTTTCAAAATATAGGCTTAATTAACTATGCTTTAGACCTTAAAACTGAAAGCTTTGAATATTCCAGTTCAAAAGTACTACCGAGAATATCTTTAATACAAAGTGTGAAGAATTTTTTTAACAGTGTACTTTACCTTCCTTTCCTGTACAACTATTATTCGTTTAAGTACTTACGAATAAAGTTTGAATTACTATGAAGTAGAACTGTTAGTTGTAAGGAACGATTAAGAAAAATACCTGTAGAAACACAGTTACAAACTACAACAAGCCAATCCTCAATACTTGAAAACGTCTGGTACGCAAAAGTTCTTCCTTTAGAAGTCCTCACAAATGACGTAGACTGCTTTTAAGAATCGACATGTATATTCGTCTGAAGACAAAACATTTTACACCAATAAGCAACATGACTCATCACATAATGATGACGAAACTTTCATGCAAGTCTTTTTTTATTGAAAATATAATTCCGCTCCAAAATTTTTTTTTTTCCGCCAGCTCTATGTCTGTGTTTGGCTTCTCACAAACATTCTAGAAAAACTTTATGTAAATATTGATAACACAGAAATTTACTTTACAAGACTCAAGGTAATAACAGCGGCAGTGAATAAAAAATGCTTTATCAAAAACAAAATAAGTGTTATGAACCTGCACTGTTCATTACGGTCATTATTTAGCACCTTCAAAATGAGAAGAAATTAATACGTAAGTGCTTTCACAGAATTTTCAGTTAAAACTCAGTGAAAACTCGAATAAATGTTAAGACAACTATGTGAATTTAGTCCGTTAAATTTCCTACCAACAGAAACCATTGGAAGGAAATGTTGTAGAAAAAAACGGAAAAAATTTACGACGAGAAACACTGGAACAAAAAAAAAAAAAAAAAAAAAAAAAAAAAAAA